CCACACTCACGAAAACCACACAGGAGGTCACCACCACACATCCACGCAAAAAGCAAACCCAAACCCACACAGATGATGAGGCACGACCACAAACTAGAAGCCAGTCCACAGCTGCATCATTAGCCACTTTAAACCCCTCCAATCCATACATGAAGCAAACTGACACCCACCATAAAGATGTGGCACGACCACGAACATGTAGCCAAACAGCAGCAATGAAGCTCACCATCTCAAATCCCCCTGCAACTCAGACTAACCTGAGCACAACAAAACCCCCACCCAAACAGAACACTCCCCCATCCAATCAGAGCACAGCCAACCCCCCATCCAATCAGAGCACAGCCAAGCTCCTTAACCAATCGGAACACACCTCCACCCAATCAGAACACAGCCAAGCTCCCACCCAATCAGCTCAAACCCCACTGGCAGTTAAAAGGAAGAAACAGCTGTGATCGCACACTACTCCCAGAAACACGAAGCTGAAGACACCAGCCTGAAGATGACGAATGTGACTTCGTCGAAACGTCGCCAAGACACTTCCAATTTTACGCGGGAGAAAACCTGAATATCCAAAGACCTACATACAAACACCCGCGAAAACCTCAGAAAACATATATATATCAAAGTAAAAAAGCATATATATATAATATATATATATATATTTGAATAGCTATGGCTCATTGGCTCCTTCTGCAGTTTTCCAAATAATTCGAAGCAGCCAATGAAGCTTCCCAGTAGGAAATGTTTAAGCAGACCTACTGAACGAATTATTTATTTTTCATGCTTCATTAGACTTCATTTACCTCCAGTGTTCTGAAGAGACGTAGATCCAAAAACAATAATCTTTCCTGGCGTGCCAAAAACATGTTCTCCAAGTTTTTCATAAACCATACAACCTAGTTAAACCAAGGTGAAGAGAGATGGCAATTAATCACAAGGAACAATATCTTTAATAATATAATGTACATTTGTTGCATACCTGGGTATATCATAGTCTATTTTCTTATCTTTTAACTGACAAATGAGATGTAAAGCATTGTTCTCTCCAGTTCTTTGCAAAAAAAAAGTCTGAAGCTATTGTCTTCACTTCTGATAACCTTGAAATGTAGAGAACACTTGTGAACCAATAATACTGGCCTCTTTCAGTCCGGCTGAACAGTAGGAGAGTGAAAATAATGTTAAATTGCTGTCTTCGTCCAACTATCTGGTCATGAAATAACAAAAGTTCTTTTAACCTTACTCAAAATTAAATAAAATAAATTGCAAGAATATAAACCACAATTTTCATTCAATGAATCTGTGTGCCTCTGGTGGTGGTTTACAAAAAATATTGTGAGGCTGTAGTGATGGGAAACTATATGAAAAAATTATAATGTTAAAAAATATAAACTACATTGGCATTGCTGGGCTGCATTTGAATATCCCAATATGTTGTGATGATGAAATGGTAACACTTTGCAAGTAGCCACTTTCCCCAAAAGCTATGATCATGATTGTGGGAAAATGCCTATTTGCAAAGTATTACCATTTCATTATCAAAGCTTATTGGGTTATTCAATAAGACTATAATCTTATTAATATTCAATAATCCAGAAGGTTGGATGAAGACAGTAATTGCACATTGTTACAGTTCCTGGATTGATGGAGGGGAAAAGAATACATTATTGAACCAAAAGCGCTTTTTCAAAAGACAACTGGACTTTGTTTTTCCTTGAAGATATTTCGCTTGTCATTCAAGAAGCTTCTTCAGTTCTGACTGAATTGTGGAGGATGGAAGGATTTATATTCCTTGCAGTCATCTTGTTGTTAGCACTCTTTCTGAAAGTAATTGAGTTCCACTGGAGGTTTATCTGTGCCCTCAGGGTCACTTGAATAGTGCAAATGGATGTGGAACTGCTGAAAGGACTGTGCTGAATACAGGAAATTGTTGTTGTGGTATCCCTGCCCCTCTGCTGAGAGAGGGCTGTTCAGTCTTAAATTAGATGGCCTCTTTGACCAATTTTTCAAACTTTTCTTTTTTTTCTTTCAAACTGAAAGAGACGGTCAAAGAGGCCATCTACATTAAGATTGAACAGCGCTCTCTCAACAGAGGAGCAGGGATAACATACCACCTGGATGACTGATAATCTCCATAGACATTACTGAACCTCTACCTTGGATACGAGAGACACACAAACAGAGAGATAAGAGATTACTGGTCTGAACACTGGGAGGAGAGGCAGGGTGAGACAAACATTTCTGCTAATGAAAAGACAATTCTTAAAGTCTGTAGAGCCACAGTGATTCTGTGGTTTACAACCAATTGGAGCAGAGTCAAGAATAAATAAACTTAGCTCTCACTTATAAGAGGCAAGCAACTCTGAAACTAATTTTAAAGTGTTATTCCAAACTATTGGTATGGAAGTGTCAGTTAAATGGCCTTCACCCTATTGCAAATTTCTTGGAGTTACAGCTGCACTTTAGCAACTATCCCAACATCCTAATCAACTACAAATGACAAGAAGAACAGATATAATCATAATAATTCCTTTTGTCATAATCCTTGATGCCATCGACAACAAGAATTAGAAATGTTCCTATTGTAGACTTTCTTTCATTCATAGAGAATGATGATGATAGAAATGGAGAACAGCTAAGACACCCATCCTCCTTCTTTTCCATTACAGTACCTTCAGTACCTATAAACAGCAAGATCTTGAAAAGGTATTATATCCTGACCAGATGAAGCATCTCCAACTAAAATATCTTTTTGTTTTTCTATCAGCATAACCAATTACGTGATTGTATTGTATATGTTATATATGTTTGGTAAGATGATCAACTGAACATATAAATTCTATCAAATAAAAAAAGGTGAGTTAAATCTAGAGTATTTTAAGTCCACCATATTTTTGACTTTTTGAAAAAAACGAGATATCATTGAAAAGATGACAAATAGATAATTCAGGCAGCGATCAGGTCTTTAGAATGTTTATGGTGCTGGCATGCAATCCTTTTAATTATTATATTGAACTCTTTTTGCTGATAAGCAGGAGCTCATATTATTCAGAGGTGTATTAAGTAGAAAATTTGGGAATTGTACCTTTATATTGTATTCAACATAGAGTTGAATACTAGCATCATTCTGGCTCCATTGTCCCACTAAACAGGACTGAAGTCTGTAAAGGACTGACTTGCAGCAAGATGTTTCCTTTCCTTTCTTACAAATCAAGCCATTTTGCACATACCTTTATCATGATGCTATGTGATAGTGTTTAGTACACACAAGGGAAGAGAAATTACACTGAATTTACTTCTCACTGACTTGTATGCCTCGTTGTAAGTCATATATTGTTTCCTCTAAAACAGGGGTGCCCTTTTATGACTTGTGGGCATCAGCTCCCAGAATTCCTGAGCCAGCATGTCATAAAGAGGCCATAGTTTCCCACCTCTGCTATAGAACGTCCTCTCCTTCTCCTTCTCTCTCGTTATTTTAGCAAAATGGATTAATTCATGTTTCCAATGTTCTCAGGATTACTGTTTCATTTCTCACTCTGTTTAGATGATACCCCTGCATAACTTGCTCTTTTTGTCAACAGTAATTTCAACAATTTGATCAAGTTTTTAAAATTTATTTTCCCTTCACTTTTAAAAATACATTTTCATATACTGGGTTAAATCTCATTATCTTATTAAGATCATATTTGAACTGTGGCAGTATATACTTTTTTAGTTTAATAAAACAAAGGAATGGTTCTATTTTTTCTTGATTTAACAAAGCATATTAATTTCTTTTAGAATTAAAGCAAAGCAAAGTAGGATGGAAGATTTAGGCTTTTATTTACCATATTCATTATCTCTTTGTTATTTCTTGGTAGTAAAATAATATAAAGTTTTAGGAATTACCTGTTTCCTTTGCACATGCTAACAAGACATTTATTGAATAAATGGAGAGCAGTGTCACTGAAATCAAAAGCAACCTATAGGAAAAAATAAGAAAAACACTTTTTAGCACTATATAAAACTTGAGTAAGTGTGGATGTAAAATAATAATATGAATATGACTTTAATTGAAACCATAAGAGCATCCCTTAGGTTAACATAAATTATTTGGAGGATGACAGGTTGGCTGCCTTCTCAATAACACAGTGACAAATGACAAATCATATATTAAAATAATTGTTCAATGAAATTTTTCATTTTCATTTTTCAAGGGATTTTGGACCAAGCATTTTGAGGACACTGGAACTCATACTCTTCTGAGTGTAGTGACTTTAAATTTAGCTATTAGTACTTAACAAATATTTTGTTTTGCCAATTCTAGATATTTGGCTTAAATTCTTTACACTGAAATAGTCAGAAAATCAATCTGTCAACATCCAGCTTGAATATCCAAATAAAAATCCAGGATCAATTCAATTCTGAAAAACTTACTGTTTATTGAATATATACAGATAATCCCTGGGTTATGAGTGTTCCCTTAGCGAAGTTATGCGATAAGTGCCCCCTAGTGTTTATGAAAAAGTCCTGAAATTATGAATGTTGCCGCACCACAGCAGTCATTCATCCTTACGAACGATTGCAGTGCAACTGCAACATTCGCCCTGGCTATCCCCTCCCTCCCCCCCAGCCCTGGGTCTCCCAGGGCACTAGGCCTTGGATACTCACCTTGTGAAAATCAAGATCCTTCGCTTTCTTGGCTGCTCCAGGCTTTCAGTGCATTTGCAGAGAATGGAGGCCTAAAGTAATGCAAGATCACGCGAGATCAGTGGCGCAAGATCTCACACTACTGATCTCGTGTGATCTCACGGTACTTTAGGCCTCTGTTCTCTGCAATAGAGAATGGAACCAAAGCTGGGGCGAGGCTTCTGCATGCCTCCAGAGGCCTGATCCAGGCATCGGAGGTCTTTCCCAGGCCTGCTCAGAAAGGAGGCCAGGGGACGCTTCCGCAGACCTCTGGAGGGTCAATCCAGGTGTCAGAGGCCTTTTCCAGGCTTCTGCCACCTGAAAAGGAGGTCGGGGGACACTTCCGCGCACCTCCAGAGGCCTGATCTGGGCATCGGAGGCCTTTTCCAGGCAACTGCTGCCCAGAAAAGATGTTGGAGGATGCTTCCATGGACCTTTGGAGGCCCATTCCAGACATCAGAGGCCTTTTCCGGGCCATTGCTGCCCGGAAAGGTGGCCGGGAGATTCTTCCATGGGCCTCCGGAGGTCCATTCTGGGTCTTGGAGGCCTCCTCCAGGCCTCCAAGGCCACGTGCTTCTGGAGGTCCATTTTGGGCCTCCGAGGCCTCCTCCTGGTCTCCAAGGCCCAGAATGGAGGCCGGGGGAGGCTTTTGCATGCCTCCAGAGGTCTGTTCTGGGCCTCTGAAGCCTCTTCCAGGCCTTGGAGGCCCAGAATGAAGGTGGTGGGTGGCGGCCATGTGCTTCTGGAGGTCCGTTCTGGGCCCGAGGCCTCCCTCTGCTCTTGCCAGGAGCAGAGAAAGAAACAGAGCTGGAGAGGAAATAGATCTTCACAAGTAAACTGGCGCAGCAGGATTGGATGGAGGAGCAATTGTGGGGACCTCAGGGGAAGAAGCATGAGGTATCTCGGGGGGGGGCTTGGGTGGTCTGAAGCAGATGGCATGTTCCATCACTAGGCCCCCCATGGCCTTCCCCACCCTGAGATACCTTGTGTTCACTTAACGAGCCACGCATTTGCTCATGCATTAAATTAGCGTGGGCGTGGGCAAAAGCTGGGAGTGATTCGCATTCAAAGTACGAGATTCACTCCTACGAATCCTCAAGTTGCGAATGGAATGGGCAGGCTCCATTATGTTCACAACTCGAGGACTACCTGTAGTGTCGTAATGGGAGGTAAAATTAACTCTGAATTTCTAAAGCATCAGTTCACAGTATTAAGCAATGACTTTTTCAGCTCAACCCTCAGTTTCCACGTAGATCATGTAAACAAATTCTCTTATTATAGGAACTATCAGCGTTCTTCTTCACACCTGTTGATACAACCTTGAAAATTTTCCAGACTCTCACAAGCTGACCCAACCTTCGTGAGTGCTACTCAATAGCTTACACATGAGGAAAATCCCCTTTTCAGTTAATAAGTCACGAGCAAGGCAGGAACTCATGAGAAAACCCCCTTTTTATTTTAACAAGGTGTTTATGGAATAAACTCCAGATAACCAGTCCTTAGATGTTGAAACAAACAGTAGCAGTCTCTGCTCCCACTTGGCTGAGATAAGTACAAAGTCTCTGAGTTCCCAATAGGAAGGCTCAATTAGCTATTCAACCCAAACACAAAGAAAGCTGACAAACTTGGCAAAGAATCCTGGCAAAAGAAATCCAACAGAGGAACAAGATACCGTAGCATGAACGGTTGCCTGTGGGAACTGGCGTCTCCCACGTTTCCTCTTTATAGTCCAGCCAGGACATGGCTTCTTAGAGGCCACCCTACCGCCCTCCATTGTCCTGCTCGCCTCTCCTCTCTGCACATACATGCATCTGGGACAGGCCCCAGCTGTTCCTCCTCTTTGCTCAGTTCAGACCCCCAACACATCTGTCTCTCTGCCTGAGCATGAGTAGATGGGCCCAGCTCTGCATCTGGCTCTGAGTCTTCTTGCTCCTCAGAGCCTTCCACAGACTCCAATGTGAAACCAGGCACCCCTTCACCCTCATTCGATTTATCTGACTCAGCTGCCGGATCTGCTGGCAGTCGAGGAACCACAACACAAGCCTCTGTGAAACTGCAGAAGTTTCGTTTCTCCAAATTAACCCATTCATAGTCAATAACTCCCCCCTTTCCCTAATGACAAGTTGAAATGGAGAGGCACGTAGCTGCCCATGTTTCACTCTTGAAATGCTGCCCCCTCGAAAGAAGAATGGATATTGAAGGGTAAAACAAATAAACACATATACATAATAGACATTGATCAATATCCCATGTACAATCTCCTCCTTCTCAGTGGGGTCGGTTAGGGTATTTGGAATGGAATTTCTTTATTAGTTTAGCTGCCCTAACATTTATAGCTGCCACCCATTGTGCATATGCTAGGGGATATCCTTTCCACTTTACTCAATATTGTAACTTTTCCCTATGATATCTAGAATCTAAAATTTCTTCAATTTCATGATGCCTTTCTCCCTTAACTAAAATTGGAAGTGGAGGTGAGTTTTCAATTGGCCTCACTTTCGATCCTTGTACTGGCTTCAATAAGCTACAATGAAACACTGGGTGTATCCTTCTAAAATCTCTTGGCAACTGTAATTTTACTGTAACTGGGTTGATGACTCCTATGATACCAAGTTTCCCCGAAAATAAGATCCACCCCAAAGATAAGCCCTAGCCTGATTTTCTGGGATGGGCCTAATATAAGCTCTATCCCAAAAATAAGCCTGGGGAGTGGGCATGGCCAGCACAAGTGGTAGCGAGCACGCAGGGGCTGACGGTGTCCAGCAGCAGCTGCAGCCCACCAGTCCCTTGGCGCAGCACAGGTAAGTCCGAGTTCAGAGACAGAAGTGGGGGGAAGTGATCCAGATGTGCTTTGCACTTTTCATCCAGAGGGAGACTGGAAGCTTCATCTGCTTGTGAATGGGATGCTTAGAAACCAAGCAATTCGCTCTAAGTGCTCTATTTGCAAGCAGACGAAGCTTCCGGTCTCCCTCTGGGTGAAAAGTGTTTGGACACTTATGGGGTGCTTGGGGCAGCTCCACCCCCTCCTCAACTGCCTCGCCTCATGGCGACAGCACGGCACAGCAGGCCACATGGCCTCCTGCCCCGAGTGGCCGCAGAAGTGGTCCAGTGGCCACGCAGGCCCCTGCTGGATGGGGCTGTTGGTGCCACCACCGTGAGGCAAGGCAGGTGTTGGGGGAAAAATAAGACATCCCCCAAAAATAAGACCTACGGTCTCTTTTGGAGGCAAAAGAAATATAAGACCGGGTCTTATTTTCAGGGAAACATGGTAGTAAAAGAACCTATATATTTAGGACCTTGTTTCTTACAAGTTATTTTGAGGTTTAAATATTTCGTGGACAAATATATTTTATCACCTACTTTAAATACCTTCCGAGTGCCTCATTTCTTGTTTGCCTGTTTTTTTTTTTACTTTTTTGTGTCTGTTCTAGAGCTTTGCGTACCCCTGGCCATGAGCTTTTTATGTTATCCATCCACTCAGTTAAGGTTGTGGATGATGTGATGTCTTGAGGGATCTCAGCCACATATTCGATCCGAGAGGTCACTTGGAAAGGTGTAAATCCAATGTTGCTATGTACCATATTATTGTATGCCACTTCAGCAAACAGCAACAAATCAGCCCAATCATTTTGTGGATAATTTACACATCTTATATATTGTTCTATCATTGCATTAGCTCTTTCAGCTGCACCATTAGTACTCTGATGAAAACCGGAACCAAGTCCTTGTGATAATCCTATTGATTTAATGAACTCTCTCCAAAATTTTGCTGTGAACTGTACCCCTCTGTCTGAGATGATCCTTTTTGGGACTCCATGCAGTCTGTAAATATGTTGCACAAACATTTTGGCTAACTTCTTAGCTGAGGGAAGCTTTGGACAAGCTATAAAGTTAGCTTGTTTTGAAAATAAATCAATTACTGCCCATATTATGATATTCCTAGCAGTCTCTGGTAATTCTACTATGAAATCCATAGCTATTTCTTCCCAGGGTCTTTTAAGGTCGGCCACTGATTGTAACAAACCTGGAGTTTTCTTAGGCAACTTCTTCATTGAAGCACAAACTGAGCAACTAGCCACGTATTCTTTTACATCTTTTTTCACTTTTGTCCACCAAAACTGTCTTTTCACAAGATGAAGGGTTTTTACAAACCCAAAATGGCCAGCTGATTTTGCATCATGTGCTTGGCTTAGTATTAAGGTTTCACTATAAGATCATTTTTATGGTCCTGAAACCAATTATCTTGTTTCAAAGCCTCCTTAAATTTCTACCTCAGGGGATCTAATGCTAACCT